GTGTGTGTGTGTGAGATGTTCAAATGAGTCATAAATTTCTCCAAGCTATGCAGCTTCTCTATCAATGAGCAACTGGAAGTTTCTGAAGAAATGTAATTCTGTCTTAATTTTAAGTCCTTCATAACACATGAAGTGGTTCTTTCAACCTCTTGTTGCTTTAATCCAATCTGATGCATGTGGCATTTTCTCCTCATTTCAGTTGTATTATTGCATGTGTATTTGACACACACACACACATGTATGTATTCTATGACTACATAGTCTTTAATAGAAATTGTAGCAATTGAAACTTATTATGTTCATAAACTCAGCAGATATGCCAGCTATACTGTCGCTGGTCTGGTGTCACAGAAGTTAAAAGATATTACTAAATGCCTCTTAAAATTGAAGTGAAAGAGTACATTGAACTATCAGTAGTGATGTGTTTAATTAGTACCTTTAAATGCCATGTTAATAGAATACTTAATGGTGCACCGCAGGATATATCGCTGTTTTTACTCTTATTTTATTAAGTATTTATCACAATAATTTAGCTAATTTAAAGTGCACTTTGTTAATTAGTCTTACTACATTTCCTGTTATGTCCCACGTATCTTTTATTCATTTAGTTAGACTTTCCATAGATATTTACTTGGTATGGTTAAATGTGAATCAATGGGGCTAAATGTGAATCAATGGGCCAGGTCTGCTTGAAAGTTTACAACTTAGCTCATATACTTGAAATATTAAAGCGATAATAGAAGACACTCAAATTAAGACGTGTAGATAAGCTCCATGTTTTGTGGAAACATTTGTTGAGATAGGACTGAGCCAAAATATTTCAAGGAGGTAAAGAAGGAATGGGTATCCCAAAGGGGCTTGGGGCCTAGTTACAGATTGGTTTTCTATCCGAGAATTGTAACAACAACACCAAAAAAAGCAAACCTGTCAGAGGCCAAAGTAATTTGGAGTTATCTTTGCCCTTGACTTTTTGTAAACATCTCCTTCTAAGAGAATGCCAGGGAGAGGAGCATCTAATTGAGACTCTGGCCTATTTCCTAACAATATTTTGGAAGCAGGATAAAAGTAAGGGAGAAAGGCAGTGGTCCATAGTTCATTCACTCTTCCTTCCGAGAGGGAACACAGATCATGACCCCCACTGTTTTCTTTACAGGAGAAAGATGTGGGAAATTGTTCTGAGTAATAGTTTGTTCTTATGACTTCCCTCCTGGGTTTATTTTGGTTTGGGGTTTGGTTTTAGTTTTTGTCCTACCACAGCCCCTACTCTGTATAGACACAAGGTGGGCTCAGTCCAGCAGGTGGCTACCAATCAAACTGTTTTAAGAAGATAATGGTTCCTGCTGTAATGGTCAGTGGTGAGACACTCTCCTTCCCCTATTGTCCTAGTAAGCATTAACTGTCAATTCAACAGAGCCTAGCATTGCCTAGGGGGAAAAAAAAAGTCTCAGTTGAGTAATTGTCTTTATTAGGTTGGACTGTGGGCACATCTGTGAGGGATTATCTTGATTGGTAACTGAGGTAGGAGGGCCCAGCCCACCTTGGACAGTACCATTTCATGGGAAGGTAGTCCTGGGTTGTAATAAAGAAGGCTATATAAGAAAGCTAGTTGAGCATAAACTGGCACAAGCCAGCAAGCAACATTCCTCCATGGTTTCTGCTTCAAGTTCCTGCCTGAGCTCCTGCCTTCATTTCCCTCAGTGATGGGCTGTGACCCAGAAGTGTAAGCCAAACAAGCCCTTTCCTCCCATTAAGTTGCTTTGGTCATGGTCCTATCT